AGCAGATCTGCCATTTCAGCAAGCAATGTGGACAAGTTAATCTTTCTTTAAACAACATGAAAATACAATGACAAGCAAGTCCTAATGTCAAGCTGGCTGCTTAGGTACTAGTACAGTTCAAATACAGATTATTTCAGTTCATCGAAATGCTGCACCTTAATGTTTATTTTACTATATGTTGTATTTATTTGAATACATTAGTCACAGTTTAATAATAATAAAAAAATGTTTTTAATGTTTTGTGATCATTTTTTCTGCTGTACCGAACCGAACCGTGAACTACAAACGAGGTACGTACCGAACCGAAATGTTTGTGAACCGTTACACCCCTACAATCAATGTTAACTTGGAAAGCCACAATATTAATATTTTAACTCAATCACATAGGTGATATTATTGTGGCACATCAGTAAAGCCTTACATATAAGGTGGCAGATGTAATTTAATGAATTTTAACTGAACAATAACTGAATGAGTTTGTCTCACTCTTAGACCAGCAGGGGTACCAAATATATGCAGACTGCTGCAATAAGTACATTAATTAACTGTCTCATCGATGTTTGTCTGAATGAATATGATACTATTAACAATCATATTATTCCTATCAGCTGTATAAATAAATAATAAATAATAATAATAATAGATTTAATTTGTTAGCGCTTTTACAGGTGCTCAAAGACGCTTTACAGATATAGTGAAGAACTGTTATGATTCACATATTCATTTATTATTGAATAAACTATATTTATTTTTTGGAGGAGTTAATGATGAATGTTCATCAAGATGCTTGCTCACCCTCCTTCAAATTTGAAAAACAAGTAATTATATCATTATTGATATACAGTTACAACCTTGACTTTACATCAGAAAGAACAAACATTAAAGAAGTGACTAACTGCATCAGTTAGGGTTAAAAAACGTGTATTCAGATAAAACATCGCTGCAGTTATTATCCAGTGGAAGGTCCTTACCTACTGGCCTAGTTCAATCAAAGTGGTTACTTTCTGTTGGCTGGGCAGTGTAGTTTCACACACCGTCTTATTTTACTTTTTCAGGACTTAAAATAGTTTTTTGGGGGCAGACCCCCTCAAAGAAAAAAATATATACACGCATACAAGGTCATCATCTTAACAGTTTGTTATTCTCATCGAGTCATCCGTGAGCAGAGCATCAAGTTGGCATGTATATTACAGCTGAATGCGGCGATTCCTATCTTGTTCAGCAAAACGCCTCACAAATGTATTAAGATCAACAGCTTTAGTGCGTTTTGATTCAAGCTGAGTACAGCCAAACTTGACATTCTCTTCTCTGTCAGTGTAGACCGCAAATACCTCATTCCTTCAGTCTACTTGAGTCCGAAAGGCTTCTCGTTTTGCGCCGTCCCGTTCAAATGAATTCGCCACCAATTATATTTCCACTCTCGCGCCAGGACCGGGGGAGGGGTTACATGACGTGAATCTTGTGCTGCATTCACTTGCACTCGGACATTAGAGACTTTCTCTCATAAATGTCCGATGAGCAACAACTTTTCTTTCAAAACAAAGATGCCAACTGGGGTGGCAGCTGGGGTGGCAAGGCTATTGTTTAGGGTGGCAGTTGCCACCCCATGCCACCCCGGTAGATCCGCCCCTGCTCCGGGTCCGTATAGGTCGGCGTCTGGGTCCGGATCCGGACCGCGGTCCGCCTGTTGCCGACCCCTGATATAGGCCTACACAACTATGGTGTAGTTATGCATTGAATGAAAAACTTGGGTCGCAGGTTCCTCAAAAGTGCATTACAAGACATCTATCAATATTTGTGCATACCTCCAGCAATGTTAACTATGTTGAAGCACTTGTTTTTAACTGATATTATACATAATGTATTATACTCTTATAAGATGTATGTAGATATTTCATCTCCGGCCTTGTCAGGTATTGAACAATCAATAAATAAAGAACACAGAATTGTTAAATATAAAACACAGAATTTGTGTGATTATACTAAATGATTTACAAATAAACACCACTGCATATGTACAACTGTAACACATGCTGATGTAACGCAAATGTTCCAACTTGGGATCAATAAAGTATATCTTATCTTAAGCTGATCGATGGCTACTGCCATATTTGCAAAATTTGCCTCTGAACCTTGACAAGTGCATGTTTCAGGCTTATCAATTAATGTAATGTAATGTAATGTTATCAATTAACAACAGGGGTCACAAACATAAGACCAGCTGTTAAAGAAAGCTCTTCTGACCTTAGCTGGCATGTGTGTATATATATTAATGCTGCCCATTATGGGCACAAGCAATTTTCACCCATTTATTAATTATATGTTTTAAATTTTAGTGTTTCCTATCCCCTAAACCTCCAGGGATGTACACAGTTTAATACTGGCAACTTCTTATTATGGGAAATACAAAAACGTCTTTTAAAACTACAACTCCCAGTAGAGACGTGCCATAGATAGAGAACATGTTGCGAAACAGAATAGCCAGCATGTGTAGTTCTGGGGACGGGGTGGGGGAGGGGGGGCATAACCCTCGGAGCACACTCTCCAATCACAGAGCTTGAGGACTATCACGGGGTTTGTCAAACAGAGCACATGGTGTAGTCCAAACGATAGCTGGGGATTCTGGGTAGTGTAGTGTCTTCTGCCATCCTTTACTCCGAAAAAATATTTGTTTCTCCGAATCGAAGGGGAAAAATACAAAAGCATTGCACACAATTTAAACCAATCAATGTTGTGTAATTAACAAGGATAATCTGGTGTTTTTTAGTCGATGAGTAGTGCAGATATCACTGTAAAATCAATCGACAGTAAGGGGAATACTTACTTCCGGGTGTACAATTCTCCGTTATCCAATGAGAATGGACGCTCACATTGCCTTTAAGGGCAGCCGACACAAACGAATGCCGTGCTTCCATGAGCGTCATTACCAGTAGAAATACATTGCTTTTAAAATCGTGCTGTGCAACACGAAAAATAGGGGGAAATCGTGTTGGTGAACACGAATCAATAGATTAAAAATCGTGTTGGTGAACACGAAATGCCATGAGACTGGGTTGTCTCTTCGTGTGGCCGGTCTTTTTTCTTCTTCGTGTGTGATTAATTGACAGATAAGAACCACACAACTGCATTAGCGGCCGCTGTCGGCCGTCAGTGCAACTTAAATGATGACGTTAAACACATTTTTTTTTTAAAGGGCCGGCCGGCCGTCAACGGCCCTTGACGACCGGCCGTTCTGTGGTTCTCCAGATTCTACAGATGGCCAGTCCGCCCCTGCTCACAACTCTGCCTTTAACTGAGGTGAAAGCAGTGGCGAGCCGTGACTTTTATACCTAGGCCCTCTGACCCCCACCCCTTCCCTCGAGTTATTACGTCACAGCGTATACTTCAGCGGAATATCAAAACAACGGCCCGGGGTGCAAAACGCATCAATGAAAGCGACCCTCTACCACACAAAACAACACCTGTAAATAACCCTATTTGTGGTGTTTGAAATTGAAAAGGATATTGCATTGTATTTTTTACTTTCGTTGCAGTTGTATGTCTTAAGTGTAATTTGGCATGCTTTTATTTTGAAGGCGAGTTAACGCTGTTGACAGGAAGTTGTTGTTGCTATGGAAACAAGAAAAGTTTCACAGCGGACGGAACTTGTCATAAAGTCCGCGATAATAACACCCACCCATTTAGAGGGAAGATATGATTGGTCAATTGTACTGTCATTGGACATTACTCTCTCGTTCAGTTACTATAGCTGGGCCCTCTGTGAATTCATAGCTGGACCGCTATGGCGTTATATTTGTGCCTCTATCCTGAGCACGCAATGAAACATGTTTATGGCGTTATATTTGTGCCTCTATCCTGAGCACGCAATGAAACATGTTGAGCATATAAAATGCTATTGAGCGCGCACTTGAACATTTTTGAGCACAGAGAAATATATTTTCTCTCATAAAACTCCTGCTTCGTGCGCAAGCAGACCGCTGCACGTGCTCTCTCTCCCCCGCTCGCTCGACCTCTCCAGCATGTGCGCGCTCAGCTTTGCCTGCGCTCGCTCAAGTTGTCACAGCGTTACAAATGTGCCACAAAACCAACCAATCGGAGAACTCGAGAAGGTCAATTCTGATTGGCTGGTCGTCTCCAATCATATCTTCTATCTGAGATGAGAGAGGGATTTTCGGTTGCCATCAGGCTGTTGACGTTCTTATTACACATCTATCGTTGACATTTACAGGACATGACAGACTCGAATGAAGAGAATAGCACGTCACAGTGTCAGGTGAGTTATACATGTCTAGTTTTCTGATATCACGTTATTGTTTGCAATGCCTGAGTTTGCTAGCCGGCAACATAGCTATAGGGGTAGTTTAAGCAAACCGCTAACAAACCGTAGCCTACATGTACATGAACCCTTCTGAGGTATTGATTACTTGCTGTAAGCATTAGAGGTGGCAGAATGACAAAACATGTTTCTCGCTCTATCACAATTTTGGGTTGACCAGAACCTGGACCAACTTCTGTTTCCTGTTCTACAATGGGCATATGCTTGCGTTAATTTTCAGCCAGACAGATGAGGCTAGGATACCGGATAAAGTTAGCAACACACGTTAACCATGAACAGCCTATTAATCCGTTCTCTTAATGTTATTTCTTCCAACGTTGTGGAATTAGAGAAAAGGGGCTTCTTAACGTGCTTTTATCCGGGGTGGAGGGAGTTACATATTAGTTAAATAAAACATTGGGGCGTGTGATTGTAGTGGGTGGTGAAATGAGGATATCCATTTTGGAGTTCAAGCTAGTATAAAACGAACGTTACACAATAATAAGGAAGAGAGCTATTTGTGTGATACATCGCTATTGATATGGATTTAGAGTGCATATTTGAGACTTCCAAACAGTAAACAAAAACGTAACTTATGGGTGAGTGTTTTTAGCAGAGCCATATAATGTCCTTGTGATTCTGTTGATTATCACCTGTCTGTATTATGTTGCAGCTCAGCTGATTTTGGATTGATGGCAAAGGGAGAGGGACTTAAGTGAGAGTGAAAACACAAGGTAAGTTTAAAATAGCTCAGCAATTTCCCATCCTATAGGTTGCTAGATGTATCTAACCCTTTCTCCTGTCTCCCTCTTTCAGCACAAGAACCCCACGGGGATTCAATGGAGCCTGAAGACCTGCAATGAGACCCTCACCCTGCACCTGAGTCTCAACTCCCAGAGTTTAGCAAGCCTCTCCCTATTCTTTATTTTGATTAAACAGACATTAAGTCTTCGTTTTGTGAAAAATATGATTACCTCACATATGTTGTTGCTGTTGTTGTCTTTTGTGATAGTTAAATTGCTCCTGCTGATTTGAGCCAGCCATTCTTTCCTCCTCTCTGTGTCAGTGGGGAAACTTTGCATGTGTACTCCTTTCTCTGAGCGCTTGGAGCATCCCCAGGCAGCACAGCAAACCATGGGGGAGACTATATGCCAGGACAACACAGAGGAAAAGGCACAGACAAACTGCATGCATGCTATTCAATGTTTATTGAATTCCATTTATTTACAATGGCTGTTCCTAAAACAACACATTTAACATCATCATCATGCTGCTGCTGCTGCTAGTACTTTGACTCATTGTGCTGTCAGTTGACAATCATTGATAGGCACCTGTGGGTCTCCTGTCCTTTCTGAAAGTCATAAAGATTACATTAGTACTTTAGATTACTTGTGTCCTCAATGACCAGGGGATTACTGAAACCACCATGAATTAAAGAAATGGTAGAAATGTATCTAATCAGAATTTTGAAACCTTCCTTCCCTCCCTCTAAATATATCAATAAACATTAGGATGTGATGTTCCTGACTACCATACAGGTTTAAGAAGATAATATTTGTTTTAAAGAATTCAAAGCAATAAACAACAGCAACAGGCTCTAACCAAGGCAACGTTAGCCTAACATGTATATTCTTTCACACACAGTAACGTCACGAGCTACCCACAATGCAACGCGCGCCATATATATATATATATAAATACGCCATTTTTCTGAAGGTGCAATTATCCTGGAGGTGCTAATATAAACAGCTAGCTAACGTAGCCAGGCAGAGCGCACTAGTTTTTTTTTCTGAATTAACGACCGAAGAAATCGCTGCATGTTTTCGGATTACATCTCTGGACTTGAGGGGTGTGCTCTAGGTCGTTACCAGCGTAAACTAGAGCTGTGTGGGTTGTCCGATTGCCCTTACAGACTGCCTGCAGATGTATGGAAAAACGACTCTCGAAAGTGGCCTTCGGTCGATTTTGGCAGGATCTACGTCTATCTTCTAGAAACACCAGGTGAATACCCCACTTGTCACAATAATATTATCATGCCAATGCATATATGTGGTATTTTAGAGTTGACTATATTGATTAAGGCAATATACTATGATATTCTGCTTGCACCTCGTGTGAAATGGCGGATACCGGAAGTACGGTGTCGCCCTCGGCCCAAAACCCGTATGTGTGTGTGAAAGAATGTTAACAGGTAAGATAGCTGTTCACACAATGTATATTTTCTACTTTCTACGTTGTAATGCTATGTTATTTCTATTTAAGACGTTTACATTTTCGATTGTTTAATTCTAGTCTTTTAACTGTCTAATGTACAATGCTTCCTTGTCTTTTGCTGCTGCAGGGTAAACATTTCCCCAATAAAGTACTTCTTATTTTATCTTAATCCTCAAATATTAGCACATTTTACTTTAAAAAAAACAAAACACATTGATGTAACTACATACACATATCGATATGTTGTATACATATTGCAAATCTAAATCAAAAATTGCATTTCTATCCTGTTATTAATGCATTCAAATCGTGATTCAAATGGCCCGCCACGAACTTCCGGGAACTTTCTGAGTCTCTCTGAACCACGTGATGATCAAGCATTTTGGACTTCCGCTGTCGCAACTCTTCTCTCTACATGGCGCTGGACCAGCCAATCAGAATTGACCTTCTCGAGTTCTCCGATTGGTTGGTTTTGTGGCACATTTGTAACGCTGTGACAACTTGAGCGAGCGCAGGCAAAACTGAGCGCGCACAGGCTGGAGAGGTCGAGCGAGCGGAGGAGAGAGAGCGCGTGCAGCGGTCTGCTTGCGCGCGGAGCAGGAGTTTTATGAGAGAAAATATATTTCTCTGTGCTCAAACATTTTCAAGTGCGCGCTCAATAGCATTTTATATGCTCAACATGTTTCATTGCGTGCTCAGGATAGAGGCACAAATATAACGCCATAATAGACCGCCTGGACGTCCAACAGCTCCTGTCTTCACACTCGCAGAGACGAGCTTCTTTCATTTAACCCTTCACATTCCAACAGAAACTGAATAGGCAGATTCGAAGGATTTATTTCTTTGGAAATGTTATTTTAAAAATACAATTAAATCAAGTTATTTTGGTAAAACTAATGAAAAATATAACTAAAAAAATATATTAAAAAATATATTATTTTTTAAAATGTTTTTTAATATTATTTTGTAGAATATCTTAGGCCCTCACAGAGGGCCTAGAGGGCCCTGACGGCTCGCCACTGGGTGAAAGACTGTACACAATGATTGCACAGTCTAGACAAGACACCATCATCTACAGTCGGCAGTCCACCATGTTCCTCTTATTAATTCAAAGATGCCTCGAGCTATTTGAATATTTGGCTGCTGATATGTTACTTCCAAAGCACTGAGAGCTGTGTTCATCTGCCTGCCTCGCTCTTGCATAAGCCAACAAAACAAAAAAGAAACAATCCTGATACTGTCCTCTACCTCCAGCCGGTAACGTCCTCGCTGAGAGAAAATAAAACCAGACTTCACAAGGTTGTCTGTCCCCATGAACTCCATTTATTTTGCCACCTTGGAGCTGCCAGAGACGTGTCTCGCACTCACTGCACTTCAAATTGCTCGCTGGAAAGAGAAGCATGTTATATGGCTTCAGTTTTACAAAGGCTTTGGGGTGCAGCATCAGAAGGGCATACTGTAGGAGTTCTGCTGTAACACAAACATACACTTAATGAGGCAGGCTCCCCAGAAAGAGAAGAAGAAGAAGAAGAAGAAGAAGAAGAAGAAGAAGAAGAAGAAGAAGAAGAAGAAGAAGAAGAAGAAGAAGAAGAAGAAGAAGAAGAAGAAGAAGAAGAGAAGAAGAAGAAGACTCCGCCTCCTAAGCCTCCGCACCCCCCCCTCCTCCTCCTCCCTCCTCCTCCTCCTCCTACTCCTCCGCCTCCGCCATCCACTACCTCTCCTCCTCCGCCTCCGCCTCCTCCTCCTCCTCCCCCCTCCTCCTCCTCCTCTCCTCCTCCTCCTCCTCCTCCTCCTCCTCCTCCCCTCCTCCCCTCTCCTCCTCCTCCTCCCTCCTCCTCCTCCTCCTCCGCCTCCCCTCCTCCTCATCCTCCTCCTCCTCTCCCTCCTCCTCCTCCGCCTCCGCCTCCTCCTCCTCCTCCTCCTCCTCCTCCTCCTCCTCCTCCTCCTCCTCCTCCTCCTCCTCTCCTCCTCCTCCTCCTCCTCCTCCTCCCCTCCTCCTCCTCCTCCTTCCTCCTCCTCCTCCTCCTCCTCCTCCTCCTCCTCCTCCTCCTCCTCCTCCTCCTCCTCCTCCCTCCTCCTCCTCCTCCCCTCCTCCTCCTCCCCTCCTCCTCCTCCTCCTCCTCCTCCTCCTCCTCCTCCTCCTCCTCCTCCTCCTCCTCCTCCTCCTCTCCTCCTCCTCCTCCTACCTCCTCCGCCATCCTCCTCCTCCCCTCCTCCTCCTCCTCCTCCGCCTCCTCCTCCTCCTCCTACCTCCTCCTCCTCCTCCTCCTCCTCCTCCTCCTCCTCCTCCTCCTCCTCCTCCTCCTCCTCCTCCTCCTCCTCCTCCTCCTCCTCCTCCTCCCTCCGCCTCCTCCTCCTCCTCCTCCTCCTCCTCCTCCTCCTCCTCCTCCTCCTCCTCCTCCTCCTCCTCCTCCTCCTCCTCCTCCGTCCTCTCCTCCTCCTCCTCAGTCAAGCTCCTGCCTCCTCCTCTCGCTCCTGGCACTGCATGAGTTTCTTTTGTGCTGCTGACTACAGTCATTAAGTCGAGCACTTGGTTTGTGTCTGAAGATGAGGTCTGCTGGACAGAAGTTTATCTGAAGTACATTTCAAACCTTTTTCCAGCGAGGCGAAATACGAGATCGCTGGAGTTTTGGGATACTGCCTTAGGGAAGTAAATATCAAAAAGCTGTGAAACGTACTTATTTTAAGTGAGAACTGTTCTGACAGGCTTTGTCTTCAAAAGAGATCACACTGTACGTTGAATACAAACACTGGCTTTTATTCCAGCTTTCTTTATTAATGATTCAGTAGGTGTTAAAGATAGTCCATATTCTCATAGTATCAATGGACCCCGTGGTTCTCATACCTCATTCACACCAACGCAACTCCGGTTCAAGCTCCGTATCCAAATTTACCAAGGCAAGGCAAGTTTGTATAGCACATTTTATCAATAAGGTATTTCGCAAATAAGTGCACGTTTGTTGCATCCGGAGTTGACTTCTATTGCTTTCTTTCGAAGCCCAACATATGAGTGAAATGTATGAGATGTTGCTTCATGAAGACCAATAACTGAAACAACTCACCTGACTCATTAGCTTACTTAAGCTTAGTTCCTAGTTTTGACACTGTATAATGTTTTTTTCTGTCACAATGCTTGGTCTAGTTTCCAGCAGCAAAAACCTGTGTTTTCAAAAATCTAGTAATCTCCAACGACCTGACTGCCACCGAAGAGCAGGCAGGATCTCACTTCTTCTGTTTTCAGCGGTAAATCCAGTGCTGTACTGGAGAAAGCTGATGTTCATTAAATGCTAAAAATACAGATGGTTAATAAAATTACAGTATTCTCTTGGTTTTAAAACTGTTGGGAGACATTTGGGGTAATTTACGTACATAACTCAACTGAATATATAACATAGACGTTTTCAGGACATTTTAATGTGAACATGTTTCATGTTATATTATAACATAGACGTTGTGTGTGTGTGTGTTTGTGTGTGTGTGTGTGTGTGTGTGTGTGTACATATTTAATACATAAATTAAATATGCCAAAAAAATAACTATGTTTGGGATCCAGGGGTTGTGCATTATGCATTTGATATACCATGCCTGTGAAAATCCATCATATTATATACTGTATGTATATTGAGGTCTTTCTATCAGAATAAGCTTAGATTTTCAGTGCCAATCTGGTGCTGATGTATCTTTCTAATCACATGTTTTGCTTTGTATAACAATATGTGGTTACAGCTCATCTGGCAT